CGGGGGCTTCTGACGTTTCTTCCAGTTCTAAAATATTGATTCTAAGATCCTAAAAATTCAAAGAAATTAGGGGATGACTAAAATCAGGAGATAAACCTAATAAAAAATAAGGTATCAGCCATTAAAGTATTTTAGATTGCCTCTTTCTAATTTCCTCTTTCTTTGATCTCCTTGAAAAGTTTGAAGGTCAATCTGAATGAATTTGATTCAATTCAACAAGCATTCAAAGGCACTGTGATTCACACTGCGAATAAAGATAAAAGCAAAACTAAAAGCAAAACTTCTCCCCTACAAGGAGTTTACATCCCACTGGGAAACATACATTACACAGATAAGTAAATACAGAATTTATACAAAGTAAATACAAAGTAATTTTAAGGACAGGATCAGAAAACGTCTTATGTAAGCAGTGGCAAGTGGGTTGAGCTTGAAAGGAACTAGGGGTTCCAGGGAGCTAGAGGTATTGGTAAGGATGGAGAGCACACACCGAGAGCACATGAGAGTGAAATAGATATTGGAGAAGCTTGAATAAAAGCAGTGAATTGCCAGATGCCTTGTCATATACAAAGAACAGCAGACAAATTAGGCAGCACATGTGAGGGTTAGAAATGTGAAAATCTGGAGCCCTAGCTACATTGTGAATAACTTTAAATTACCATGAGTTTCTATTTTTATCCTAGAAGCCAACTGGGAGCCTATTAACGTCCTTGAGCAGGGGAGTGACATGATCAGACCTATGTTTTAGAATTATCAATTTAGCAGCTGTGTAGAAGATAGATTAGAAGGAAAGAAGCAGGGATGATATTTACGAGCTTACTGCAATAGTCTAGATGAAAGGTGATAAGGGCCTGAATTAGGGTGATGGCTTCCTGAGTAGAAAAAACAGATGTAAGCGATACAGTGAATTTATGAATGAAAAAATCTTTTATTAACAGCTTACTCTATGCCAGGAAGAATCGAGATTTGTCCACTTGACTCTACTATCTCCTCAAGGGCTGGGAAAAGAGGGGAGGGAGAAAGAAAAGTCAAGAGTTAAGTAGACTCTGAGGTTGTGAAACTGCAAAATTGGAAGGATGGTAATGCTTTTGATAGAAAAAGGGAAGTGAGGAGTAAGGGTATGGTAATGGGAAAATACAGTAAGTTCTCTTTTGGATATGTTGTAAGGTACCTATGGAACATCTACCAGGGATGGGAAACCTGGGGCCTCGAGGCCACAGGTGGTCCTCTAGGTCCTCAAGTGTGGCCCTTCACAAAGTTTGGATTCAATCAAAGGGCCACACTTGAGGACCTAGGTTCCCCACCCCTAAATTCTAGGCAGATGCCTAGCACAAAGTTCAAAGGATCATCGTGTCAGAACTAAAAGGCACTTTAGAGGGCCAACCCTCTCAATCTCATGGATAAAGAAACTGAGACCCAGAGAGGTTTAAGTGACTTACCTAGGGACACACAGCTATTAAAAGTCTGAGGCAAAAGGACAAGGGGGCTAAGGATTTAAGAGCTAAGAATAGTGAAAATTTGACCAGGCTCACTTATGGTGTCAAGATCGTGAAAGGAAAAAAGGTCAGAGCAGAGGATGATGGAGGGGTAGAGCAGAAGGAGGAAGAATATATTTAGAAGTGAGAAAGGAAGAAAGATGAAAAGCAGGAATTTATGGTCTTCCAAGCAAGACACTTCTGAAACTAACACGCTGAATAGAATATATACTTAAAAACAAAACAAAACAGCTATAGATAATGAGATTCATGACCTAGCAGTATACAATTCTTTTTTTTTCTAGTCTTATCTTCATAAGGAAATGTTTGTATTTGTTGGTATTTCTTTAAAAGAAAACAAAAAAAATGTTTTTAATTGTGGTGAGATAAGAATTTCAGTTCTGAATAAGGGAAGCCTTAAGTTTCTAGTGCAAGTGGCTCTACTACTTCTGTAGTATGTTCCTTGTACAAGTCGTTCTTCCTCCCAAAAAAGGACTATCAACAGAATAAAGAAGTGACATAACCCCTCGGATTTTGTCTACCTCATGCAAATTAGGCTGTGCTAATCCTAACTTACAAATCTTAATTTTACTCACCAATACAAGCAATGCAAAATAATACTGCAGCCAGCCACCTAAACCCTAGCTAACTGCAATCCAGCTAATAGGAAGATCAAGGATATGATCACTTCTGTGTGTGGCAGAGTAAAAGTAGAGACCATAGGATGTGAGGAGATTGATGAACTGAAGGCCAGGGTGTTTGACAGGCATAGCAAATAGAGTGCTGGATTCAGTCAGGAAGACCTTAGTTTCAATCTTGTCTCAAAGGCTTATTAGTTTTGTGACCCTGGTTAAGGCACTTAACCTCACTCAGCATCAGTTTCCTCATCTGTAAAATGGGGACAATACTAAAAATGAAGTGCACAAGGTTCTTGTGAGGATCAAATGAAATAATATGTAAACTGTTTTGCAAACCTTAACGTACTTCACAAATGTTAGATTTTATTATTATTACTACTCCATCATCATCATTATGTCCCTAAGTACGAAGATGAGGGTTACAGTTGTAAGCCATATTCTGACACCCTTTTGAAAGAAGAATGACCTTGAGAATGGCGAATAATAGCAACTAGGATCAGGATAGGATGATATAGGTGGAAGAAATGAACTTAAGAGTAAAAGTTACCCATGATCCAAACAGAGGGACAGTTTAGAAGTGGCAGTGAGGAAAAAGGAATATGGTTCTCCTTCTCCTGGCCTAGTGTGTTGGGGAGCACGAGAGAAGATGCAATTGGTACTAGAAAAGGTAGTTGGGAATTCAGTGTCTTCTAGAGGAGCCAAATTAGTGAACGAGAGCAAGAAGATGAAAAGAAGTTAAGGAGAAGACACACAAAGGGCAGAATTTCTTTTTGTTGTTGTTTGTTTGTTTTTTGTTTTTAAATAGAAGATGGGATACATGAAGATATTGGTGCTCTCTTAGCCTAAAGTGGAAGTGGGAAGGAGATAAAGATGTATAGAAAGGTGGGAGAACATCAAAGTAAGGACAGAGAGGATCAAACAATTTCTGAGTTTGAGGATTTTTTGTAAAGTATCTACAAAGCTGAATTTTAGAATGACACCACAGTAGATTCTCAAAGAATAATTGTATAGAATAAGAAAAATTTTAACTCTGTTCCCTTTCCTTTCTATCATTTAACATACTTGGACATTTCACTGATTTTATTATTTCAGGGACCCATGTGGGTACTCCCCTACTTATACGTATCCCATGAACTGCCAGGGCCAAAAAAAAAAAAAGTCACCAGGCAGCCAACCCTCTGGTGATCAGTAAGGATGAATTTAAGTAAAGGAGTCCTCAGATAACTGCCTGGGTCTAGGACCTAGGTCCATCACCCAGAAGGGGCCAGAGCTTGAATCCCACTGACAGCCTTCAGGAATCCGGGGTCATCTACATGCCACCATGAAGCAGCAGAACAGGACTTTAGTAAAGGACAATGTATGAAGAATTGGGGCAAGTGTTGTGCAGGTCACCAAGTCAGCTCAAATTCAGAGGCCTTGATGTTACAGAATGATGTGGAGTTCCCCAGTGTAATTTCACATTTCCCGTTTTTTACTTCCCCACCACCTACATTCTCCCTAGCCTTAAGTTTCTAGTGCAAGTGGCTCTACTACTTCTGTAGTATGTTCCTTGTACAAGTCGTTCTTCCTCCCAAAAAAGGACTATCAACAGAATAAAGAAGTGACATAACCCCTAAGATTTTGTCTACCTCATGCAAATTGGGCTGTGCTAATCCTAGCTTACAAATCTTAATTTTACTCACCAATACAAGCAATGCAAAATAATACTGCAGCCAGCCACCTAAACCCTAGCTAACTGCAATCCTTGCAAATTCACTTCACTAACTCAGACAAACCTGGGAAGGGTAGGGGCAGAGAATCCTTTCACTTTCCTACCCAATAATGCCTTTGAAAAGGAACTTGTAACAACTAAATATCAGAAAGTTACACACACACACACACAATTAACACCTGACCTACTGGCAATATTGCTTTGTCTGTGAAACATTTCCCATTACTTATTAAACTGAGGCTAGTAGTGTTCAGGCTTAATGAATGAGTTGGCCCATTTCCAATATACACACAACTTCTGATACACACAGTCCAAAGCCTGCAGAACTCTTCTGCCCTCTCTGAAGCTACAAGAAGATCACAGGTCAGTTTTGATGACTGAAACTAAAGAAGATAAAAAAAGTTTCTCTTGGCCTCCTCCTTTTTTTCTTTTCCCCCTCTGAGGATGTGGATTTCTGAGATTGTGTTTAATACAGGGGACGAAGGCAGGGGCTGGGGAAGCCTCCTTTCCATTGCCCTTACAAAGGGTGCTTTCCCCTTCTCGGGTTTCTGCGTGGAAAATGACATAGCTGGCGTCCTTCTCGGAGCACAATGAAGCAGCGAGGGATGGGTGTCTCGAGGGCTTCGCTCACGGCGCTCCTCAGCCTAGAAGGTGAGCCGGGCAGGTGTCACTCACACCGCCCCTCGGCCCCAGGACGCCCCTGGCTGCCCTGCCCTCCTCCCCAGGACGCACCTTGCCCCGACCCGCCTCGCCGCACCGCACTGCACCCCGGCTGGTCAAGCCCGGGAAAGGTCGAGGAGAGGAGCCTTTAATTTGAGGACACTTCCCTCGCTTTTCTCGGGTGCCCATGTGAAGGATCGGGAGCTGCAGCAGAGAAGAGCTAGAGCAAGTCCTGGGGAGGGCGGCAGAGGCGGGAAAGCGGCACCGGGCGCGATTCTCCGCGGGGGGCCCGAGGCTATGTTCCCCGGGAAAAGACAGCGGAGGCTCGGGCGCCTCTGGAACCCGCGGCCGTGGTCGTGGGAGCACCGGCCCGCGTCACTCCCCCGGGACCCTCGGTCGAACCCTGTCCTCCTCTCCCCACTGCCGAGCCTCGGCAGCTCCCCCTGCCCCAGCTGTGGCCGGGCACCGCGCCTCGGACTCGGGCTGGGCCCCCAGCTCCGCTTGCTGCTGCCTACTCACCGCTGCACTCCGCTGAAGGCTGGTCCCCCCAATCCCCAGAATGCGGGTCGCAGCCTCCGCCTCCGCCGGCCCCGGGCGCCGCCTGCTGCCGGTGCTGCAGCTCCTGCTTGAGCAGGGACAGCGGCGAGTAGTACTCGGTGCCCAGGGCTCCCGGGTGCAGCTCGGCGGACAGGGCCCCCAGGAGCAGCAGCGCCAGAAGGCGCCCGGCAGCGCCGGCTGCAGACACAGCGCCGCCCCAGCCGCAGCAACAGCAGCCGGCAGGTGCCATCTTCCTTCAAGGCGCATGTGCGACCGGCTCCTCTCCTAGCCACTCGAGCTTCCCCGCCTTTAGCCCGCTGCCCGGGCAGGTGGGAGGCGTGGGGAGGCGGGACTAGAGAAAAGGGAACGAGCGCTGATTCCTGGGAGTTGTAGTCCATGGCTCAGCCTGCACGGACCCTCAAAGCAGGGAGACGGAACTACGACTCCCGGAAGGAATTGCGCTACGTAGCCGCTCGCTCTCTACAAATTCTCCCGCCCCCTTCGTCCCCAAACCAGGAAGTCAGGGGCTAACTTGGGCTGCCGTGAAGGAGGGGGTGTCGCGGACGGTGGAGATGGGGACCAGCGGGCGGAGTGGGCCATGGTCCGAGAAAGGAAGCGCGGAAAAAGCGGCTGAGAACAACGTCCCCTCGGCCTCGTGCCGCTACAGGTGCATCGAGTGCAACCAGGAGGCGACGGAACTGTACAGGGACTATAACCACGGGGTGCTAAAGATAACTATCTGCGTGAGTACCCTGCTCTGCGGGGCGCTGGAGATGGGGACTGGGGGGGGATAGCAGAGGGGGGCGGGGCGGGGCGCGCGAGGAGTTCTTAGGGAGGTGAGGCGTTGAATTGGGGTGGGGGATGGAAGAGAAGACCACCGCGTAGCTGAAGTAAAGGGGAGCTTTGTGGCCCAGGTAAAAAGTATGGCAAGAGGGGCGCCTTTTGTGTAGTGTTGTTTAGTGGGTAGGAAGACCTTGCCCCAGGTGTAATGAGCCGTGCACAACTGTGCCGAAGAACTACGTTTTTTATTCTGTTTTTTCTTTTTTTCTTTCTTTTTTTAGAGGTATCATTGCAAAGTGTCTAAAATGCCACTAAGACCTGGATTAGAATTCCTGCTTTTGACACTTGGTAGTCCTGTGACCCTGGGCAACCCTCTTCAGCTTTCTTGCACGTTGGTTTTCCCATCTGTACAGTGGGTGTGGGAATACCTGTAGGTACCAAACTCATTGGGTTATCTCGTGGGGTTCTGATGTGATTATGATACCCCCAGGGAAATAAATTGCCCCTCCCTTTTTTCTCCTTTAATCAGTCATTCAGTCAATAAACATTAAGTGCCTGCTGTGTGCCAGGCACTGTGCTAATCGCTGAAGATATAAAAAGAGGCAAAAGGCAGTCCCTGCTCTCAAGGAGTTTACAATCTAGTGGGGGATCGTTGAAGTCTTAAAATATGTATGTGTGTATATATGAATATGTTTGTGTATATATGTATGTGATATATGTGTGTTCATTTATATGTTTTCCTTTTAATCTTAACAGCCTTTACTCTTTGAGATCATAACTAGAGAAATTTAACTTTCAGCTCTCCATCCTTTTATCCCCAAATTTTGCCCTGCATAGTCTCCATAAGTCCACAGGGTCTCCCAGTAGAAAGATTGAGATGCTGCTGGAGTTATACAGGGTGTCCCAACAGCCATAGTACGGTTTTAAGCTTTACTTAAAAGAAAAGACTTTGTAGAGAGAGAAGAAGAAAAAAATCTAGCACTTTCCAATTGTTATTTGCAATTAGGCTTTACTTAAAACTCTACTATGACTTTTGGGACACCTTATATAAACTGCAATCTGGTAATGAAGTATTCTTTAAAATTTGGAGGTTCCTTTTGTGACATTTCTTCCTCTTCCATTAAGCAGGCATATAACACACATGTTATGCAAAACACTCTGTAGTTCCTGGGGAAACAATGATATGTCCTTGCTTTCAAAAAGCTTGATAGAATTTTTGTCTGTTTTTTTGTTTGTTTGTTTGTTTATGGTCTGGGCCTCTGACTTCATTGGTTTAACCAGCTCCCAGTGAGGAAACTCTTTACCAAGGCAGATCAGTTATTAGGCAGTTTACAGCATTGGACAGTTGCCTGGTTAAGTGACTTGCCAAGGGTGTGACACATACAACCAATATGTGTCGGTGGGGCAATTTGAACCTCAGTGGTTCTGACTCCCAGGCTGGCCCCCTGTATCCAGTATACCATGTTATATACAAGTTAGGCTTTAGTAAGTGCATAATTAGAGCTAGGTGGGGCAAATTAAGGAAGGTGTGTGAGTTGAGTCCACATTTGGACTTACATTTAGTCCCCCAGACAGCCTCTTATTTAAGAGAGAAAATTGAGGTGAAAGTAGCCTCTTAAAATTCGTATAAGCAGGTTTTTAACTCCTAATTTTTTGCCATCCTGATCTTTTAGAGTAGGGATCATTTCATTTTATATATTCTTAATTCCCAGCATAGTGCTTACCACTAAATGGGCATTGTTGCTTGTTTTTTGATTCAGTAGGGGAAGAAATATGTAGATAAATTCTGTTCCTAACTGAATGAGTTCAACTGGCTTAATTAAACAGTTTATCTGAAAAATGAGCACAGGCAGAAAAGACTTTGTAGGGGGAAAAAAACCCTAGTACATTTTATTTGTTATCTGTAATTAATTACTAATAATATTAGAGTCTATGCTTATAGATCTTTGGCATTATACTTGTGACATCAAAAATCTTTTTACATCCTTCAAAAACAGTGTTTTCTGCTAACTTTTTGAGCTCTGCAGAGAGCACACTTTTAACCAGTTTGTAATGTAATTCTATTCAGTATATTATGCATCTAATTTTTGTATAGGGTTATTCCCCCATGAGGTAAAGCATATGATGAACTCTTAGCATGCTAACGGCAAACAGTGTAGCAAAAGTTAAGGCATGTTGGAGGTGTTCCACTATCTATTGTCCTATATCTCTCCTGTCCTTCTTGATTGACTAAACTCCTTAAGAAAGCCACCAAAGATTAGTGCTTCCACTTCCCACTCCTCTCACTTCTAAACCCTAGGCAGTCTGGCTTCCAACCTCATCACTCAGCTGAAACTGCTCTCTTCAAAATCAACAATAACCTCTTAATTGCTAAATGTAATAGCCTTTTCTTAATCCTCATTAGTCTTGATTTCTCTGCATCCTTTGACACTAGCAATCACCCTTATTTCCTACATGCTGTCTCCTGGTTTTTGTGACACTTCCTTCATATTTCTTCTGCCTGTCTGACCATTCTTTCACTGGACTTTGATCTAGGTCACAGCCATTACCCAGGTGTATTTCCTTAGGGTCTTCCTTGGGCCCTTTCTCCATACCAAAAGTTCTCACAGTATGGTCTGAGGACCCCTGGGGGTCCCTAAGACCTTTCAGAGGGTCTTTGAGGTCAAAACTATTTTCATAATAATATTAAGACATTTACATGTATAATATGGTAAACATACGACTATTTAAAAATTTTTTATGTATGTGTGTATATATATATTATATATATATGTATACACACACACACACACACACATACACACACACACACACACAGTCACACATAACAGCTTTGGGAAGAATTCACAGTAATTTTTAAGAGTGTAAAAGGCTCCTCAGACCAGAAAATTTGAGAACTGCCTTTCCATACTATCAAAAATAATCAAATGAGATAACATATATAGCATTTTGCAAAACTTAAAGCATTATATAATACTAGTTATTATTATCTCACTTCGTGATTTCATCAGCCTTCATGGATTCAGTAATCATCTTAGTGCAGATGATTCCCATATTTATATATCCTGACTTCATCTCACCTAAGCTCATCTCCCCTCACCTCTTGGATTTCTCAAAACTCTATGGCCTTTTGACATCTCACACTCAACATGTTCGAAATAAAACTCACTATCTTTCCTGCAAAGTGCTTTACTCTTTTGAAGTCTCCATTACTATCCAAGACACCACCATCCTCCCAGTTACTCAGGCTCACAATCTCAGTGCCATCTTCAACTCCCCACCTGCTCTCATCCTGCATATCTAATCCATTGTCAAGTCTTGTCATTTCTACCTTCACAACATCTCTCTTTTATGTCCCCTTCTTTCCACTCACACAGTCACCACCCTGACACAGGCTGTTATCCCCGCTCTCCTGGACTAATACAATAGTTTTCTGGTTGGTCTCTGCTTCAGGTGTTTTCACCACATTAATTCACCCCTCCATTCAGCTGTCAAAGTGACTTCTTTACTCAGAAAATTCTAGTGGCTCCCTGTTAGCTCCAGGAGAAAAAACATAAAATTCCATTTGGCTTTTAAAGCCCTTAGCAATCTGGCCCATTTCTACCTTTCCAGTCTTCTTACACTTTACTGTCCTCCACATACTCTTCAGTCTCCTAGCACTGGCCTTTTTGCTGCTTCTCAGAAATTCTACATCATTTTACTGGCAGGCCCCCATGCCTAAAATGCTCTCTCCCTTTTGTCTCTGCCTCCTAGCTTCCCTGACTTCCTTGAAGATTCAGTTCAAATTCTAAGCCACTACAGAAAGACTGGTCTCCTTCCTCCCTTCCCCCACTTCCCAAGTGTCTTCCCTGAGATTCTCTTCCACTTCCACTGTATATACCAAGTAGGTGAAAATTTTGCATGTTGAATTCGAGTTCCTTGAGGGCAGGGACTATATTTTTGCCTTTCTTTGTATCCTCATTATTTAGCACAGTGCTTAGCACATAAGCACTAATGCTTCTTGACTGACTGTTGACTAATATTCACTATCCAGGGGAAGTACTATTGCTTAGAAGACACATTTTGATTACACTAAACTATGTAAAGTATGTAAAGAGTACATGGCCAATTAGATTTATTTAAATTCTGACATGGAAGCCTGAAATGCTTTTAGTTATCTTACTTCCCACAAAGTGCTTGTTAAGTTGGAGTGGGCAGGGGTGGGAGAATCAGTGGAACTCATGTTTTAGAATGAGGCCGATCTAAATAAAATAGGGTCAGAAGCAGCCTAGTAATTACAGGAAATAAGTGGTACATGACTTATTTTCCATAGTCTTTCTACCAACTTTATTTCATTCCCTCTGTACCACTTCTTATCCACATCACCTCTCAGTATACTCATCTTGTCTCTCTTGACTAAGGAGCCTGGCTGCTGCTGAACCAGCTTATCTTTTTGCATGTTTTCCTGATTTCCTCCCCTAGCTGTATGTAGCCTACTTGTATATTTAGAAGAAAATCCCTGACATTCTAATCAATTTAATGTATAAGGTGAAGTTTGGCTTCTTATAGAGCTAAAGTTAAAGATTTAGAATGATGAGACCAAAGGAAGCTGGAATTAGTGGAAAGAGGAGAGTGGCTTCAAAAGAACCAGGATTTGAACACTTTTTCCTGACTCTGACTTTATCAGCTATGCCACTCTGCCTTTTAGACTACCTGTCCTCCTGACTCCTAGTGTAGTGTTTTGTCTATTATACCATGCTACCTTTATAGCTAGGTTATTGCAGAGGTAAAATTAAAGTGAAAATACATCTGCCTTCATTTATTCAGTTGGGAACTTTAACTTCTTGTTGCTTTTCATTTTTTTCTCCAGTAAAACAACTTTTTTGTTAGAGTCTGTTCTGATGTTTTTAGACTTAGAGGGTCAGATATTAAATGCTTCAATTAATTTTACCCTTCTGGCTCTATGATTTTAATTAAAAATCCA